TTCTTAGTGTGTTAGGCCAGGTTGACTAGAGAAACAAATCCAGTGACGCTCAAATATGTATAAAAAAGAGCTTTATGTCAACAAGGAGCTATCAAGCAAGCATCCCAGCCCAGTCTTGATACTAGTGCATAAGTCCTGTTTTAGACTCACCAGCCTCCTGGAATCATACAGAACACAGGAAGGTCCCAGGCCAGTGGGTGCAGAGTCCTGTGGGTCTAAGATGGTTGGCAACATGGCCGGGCTCCCGCAGCTCCCAGTGGCCAGTCCTCCTTATGAGAAGGTCACACCCAGGAAGCACCATCATCAGGTTGTGACCTGATTGACAAGTCTGACAACATCCCTAGCCAGTGTGTGTGGTTGATGCAGATATAACTACAGCACTGAGTGTATACAATGACTCAAGGCTTTAGAGCCGTTCGAGTTGAACATTGATAACCCCGTTTACCAGCCAAAATGACGAATTAATCAGTTATATATGATGTAGGAATTTTGGAGTGTATTGCCGATATAGTGAGTCACTTCTAGCAAAGCAAGGAAGATGGGGTATAAAGGTGTCATTTAGAACATTGCAGCTTGCTTTTCTTGATCCCATGATCTGAACTTTTTCATTCCTTGTTCATTTTTTAGAGAACAAAACTTTAGATACCTCCTGTCATGCGTCATACTGTCCACTCTGTCATGGGTCACGCATTCCTCTGTCCTATAGGGTTGCTGTGAGCGGAAATGACTTGATGAGTGTGAACATTATAGCTCTGGAAACCCTTTGGGTTAGTTCTGCTTTGTTCTATAGGATCTGTTGGATTGCTAGCCCAAAGGTTAGCAGTTACAGCCACCAGCTGCACCCTGGAGGGAAGATGAGGCTACTGGCTCCTAAAAAGATTTATAGTCTCTGACAAGAGAGTCCTCTGTTAATAGGCGGTGGATTAGGGTTTTAGGGTTGTTGGTTTTGTTTTGTTTTTGCTTTTTTGGGTACTGCGTGTCAGGGACTATTCAAATTGCTGCTAGGAATAAGTAATACCACCTAAACAGCGCTAAGCACTAGTCTGTATTTACAGTATAGGTTTACACATCTGGTAGATAAGAGAATAAATATACTGATTTCTTGAAAGGTCTCCATTCTTTGGCTGCTAATGAAACCAAGATCCTGCTAATAGTGAAGTAAGTGTACATCAGAGCTATTGGATACATGTTTCCTGGTTGAACAGGGTGGTTAGCAGATGAAGGGTTGTATTGGCGAGAGGTTTCAGATAATTGAGTTTTCCTAAGAAAATTGGGAGATGAAAAGCTAGCTGTATTCATATTTGCACTTAGACATCTAGATCATGAAATAAAACCCACTGTATTCTGCCTAGATCTTGGAGTGTTGCTTTTACTATTGAATGACCCACTTTAAAAATGGGTATTAATAAATATTAGGTGAACTAGTTGGTAAGAGGTCAAAAGAGACCTTCATTTAAGGAATGGCCTGAGGGATTTATATAAAGGATAGAGGTGGGGTAGGGGAGTGGGGCGGAATCCATGAACTTTAAGTATTTGAAGAGTTAATATAATATGTTAGGAGACAAGTAGTTGTAAAGAAGTATGAAATTCAAGTGTGATGCTGATGAAGTAGCACATTTTAGGAGGGACCTGTGAGTGCTTGCTTTTTGTTGAGTGCAGCCAGCAACTGGTGTTGGACATCTCAAACAGTCAGAGATGATTGGTTTAGGAATAAAGAGTTGATGCTCAAGAAATACGTGTTGCTTATAGATAACAGTATTTCGCACCTGTAATATAACCTTGTAAATAACTCATACATAGAAAATATGTGTAGGAAACTATATGGGAGGCATTGCTAGGCTTACAAAAAAACCTGTAGTGCTTGTTATGGTATTGGCCTTGAAAGATGAAAGATAATTTAGTACTTGCTCTAAGTTTATTCTCTGCTCTTGCACAGTGACTGTTTTGGTTACTGTAGAAGCAAAGCTATTATTTAGAATTACAAAGTCATTACAGAATAACCATACAGAGCCTGAAGTATGATTAAAGCAAACTTCAAGAGAAAAGTTTGTAACAATTAAGTATTTAGTGGCTAGGAGCTCTGGTAGTGCAGTAATTAAGAACTTACCTGCTAACGGAAAGTTCAGCGGTTTAAACCCACCAGCTTCACAGAGGGAGAAAGATGTGGCAGTCTGCACCTGTGAAGGTTTGCAACCTTGGGAATCCTCTGTGGTGTGCTATTCGGTCCTTAGCAGCTGTGGGTCAGAATTGACTCGATGGCAGTGGATTTGGTTTGGTTTTCGACCTATGATATTCTTGCCTTTATTTCTGATAGATGTACTCCAGCCATACACGTATTCAAGTCGGAGGGTGTTGTGAAATGTGTAGCACAGTAATCGACAGTTTTATTGGAAATCTCAGGAAGAGCATTTTTGACTGAAAGGGAAGATCTCTGAGGAAGTGGTATTGAACAGGGATCTGCATTGAAGTGAGAGTTATGACAGAAAGAAAGGTTGAAGGCAAAGGGAGAAGCAGGAGTGGGAGAACATGGGTGCCTGTAGCATGTGATGATGGCAGGGGAAAGGTAGGGAAGGAGGTGAAACTTGGGGAACTTTGGCCATAGGCCCTATTCAGTTACAAGTCTCCTAAGTGCTGATTTCTGGCCTGCAGTTAATAGGTGAGTAAAATTCTAGCTATAAAAGACTAATAAAATATTTTTATTAGTTATTTACTTATAATAAAAGGGGTGTCCTGGTAGTACAGTGGTTAAGCAGTAGGCTGTTAACCAAAAGGTCTGCAGTCAGAACCCTCTAGCTGTTCCCTCAGAAAGATGAGGCAGGCAGGCTGTTTCTGTAGAGCTGACAGCATTGGAAACCCTTTGAGACGGTTCTACTCTGTCCTATAGGATCACTTGGAGTCAGGATTGCTTTGAGAGCAATGGGTTGGGTTGAGTTAATATAATAAAACAAAGTTGACTCCCATTTTTTGGGACAGTGAGTGATTCTGTTTTGAGGGCCAGGGTGTCTTCCATCCCAATAGTGCTCTATTACTGGCTATTTAAGCTTTCGTTGCTTTGCTTTTTTTAATTGCCCAAATTTTTTTTTTAATCAGTCTTTAGAGTTGTGCATAGAGAGCATCCTGGAGTCCACCATGAATGGACAGTTGGACCTAAGTGGGAAGCTAATCATCAAAGCTCAACTTGGGGAAGATATTCGGCGAATCCCCATTCATAATGAAGATATTACATATGATGAATTAGTGCTAATGATGCAACGAGTCTTCAGAGGGAAACTTTTGAGTAATGATGAAGTTACAATAAAGTATAAAGATGAAGGTAAGAGTGTTCTTAAGACTAGATTTCCAATCTAACAATTAGATGTGTTCTTTTAAACCCTTTTCATTGGGTTCCTTTTTATTCTGTTCTTTTCCATAGGAATTAAGTGTCAACTTTTATTTAATAGGTGTTGATGCAGATATTACAATTCCTTTATAAGTTAAAAATAGTTACATGATTTATTAAAAAGGAGTTTTAAGTGATAAAATGCTTTCACATACAATTTTACAAGCCCTTCTTTCCTTTGTCCATATAACTCTTGATTTTTTCTCATGAAACCAAGCTGCTTCTGTTTTCCCAAGTTAGAGAACTAGTAGTAGATGTTGAATGAGAAAGAATTTCATTACCAAGTAAGTTTGGGAAAGTTGGTTTAAATAAAGGTAAATGTGTTTGTATATTGCAGAAATTCTCAGAACTTGTAATACAGTGTGTATGTTTATACTATGTTGTGTTCCTAGACTTACAGAGCCATGCCTCATAAAAACAAAAATTTACCCAAACACAATGGAATGATGGGTACTAACGTATTTGCTACTCTTTTACCTGCATTTTTGGTTTGACATCTGCTGAAATTGGCTCAGGTTCCTTATTGCTGAATTTACTTCCAACCTTTTACATGTTGATGTCAATATATTTGGCTCAGGCATCCATACCACTCTGATTCCTTAACACAGCATCTCTAATGCTGTGCTGTCCTGGTTTCCCTCTTAACCCTGTCTCTGTGAGTGTTGCTTTAAATTCCAGCTCTCATGAAATCATTCTAGGATCCAGGTTGACCAAAGCTCTTACCTTCACTTCATGGCACACAAGCTACAAGCTCATCTTGGGCAGTGATCTCCAGCAAGTAGTGGGTAAAGACAAAATGTGACAATCGTGGGAGCTTTTACTTGCCAAGTCATTAAGTGTTGTAGATGATGTCATATGACTGCTGAGATGTATGTGGTTGGGAAATACAGTCCCTGACTGGGCAGCCACTTTCCAGCTTATAATTTTTTTGTTTTTAAACATTTTATTGGGGGCTTGTACAACTCCTTTCACAATCCATCCATACATCCATTGTAAGGCACATTTGTACATTTGTTGCTATCATCATTCTCAAGACATTTGCTTTCTACTTGAGCCCTTGGTATTAGCTCTTCATTTTCCCCCCCCCTCACAAACCCCCCTCCCTCACAAACTCTGGATAATTTATAAATTATTAATATTTTGTTATGTCTTATACTGTCCGACATCTCCCTTCACCCACTTTTCTGTTGTCTGTCCCCCTGGAGAGACGGTTATATGTAGATCCTTGTGATCGGTTTGCCCTTTCTACCCCACCTTCCCAGTATGGCCACTCTCACCACTGGCTCTGAAGGGATCATCTGTCCTGGATTCCCTGTGTTTCCATTTCCTATCTGTACCAGTGTACATCCTCTGGTCTAGCCAGACTTGCAAGGTAGAATTGGGATCATGATAGTGGGGGCGAAAAAGCATTTAAGAACCAGAGGGGGGGAAAAAAAAGAACTAGAGGAAAGTCGTATGTTTCAACATTGCTACACTGCACCCTGACTGAAGTCTCCTCCCTGCGACCCTTCTGTAAGATGATGTCCAGTTGCCTACAGAGGGCTTTGGGTTTCCACTCCGCACTCCCCCTCACTCACAATGATAAGATTTTTTTGTTCTTTGATGGCCGATACCTGATCCCTTCTACACCTTGTGATCACACAGGCTGCTGTGCTTGTTCCATGTGGGCTTTGTTGCTTCTGAGCTAGATGGCCGCTTGTTTACCTTCAAGCCTTTAAGACCCCAGACGCTATATCTTTAATAGTCAGGCACTATCCGCTTTCGTCACATTTGCTTCTGCACTCATTTTGTCTCCAGGGGTGGTGTCGGCGAGGTGAGCATCGTGCAGTGCCGGTGCAGTAGACTATGAAACTGGCATCCATGAGAAGCACTGTCTTAGACGACTAGAACACCCCATCTTTCTCCTGCAGAGCCACTGGTGGTTTCAGACTGCTGACCTTGCAGTGAGCAGCCAACTTGTAACCATGAGAGCATAAGTCATAGCTGATTTATGTAGCCAAGCTGAGTGACAGATGGACTTCTGTTTCATGTAATGTATGATCTAAGAGCAGCAGAAATTAATTTTTAGGAGTTACTCACATTAAGCAAAAATGAGAGAAAAAACCTCAGACTCGCTGCCATTGTGAGTTGATGCCTTTAGGACAGGGTAGAACTTCTTTGCGTTTGAGACGTAAGTGTTAATGGGAGTAGAAAGCTCTGTCTCTGCGGAGCACCTGGTGGTTTCCAGTTGCTGACCTTGAGGATTGTAACCACTGCACCACCTTGCAATATTCTGACTTTGATTTAACGAACACATGCCTTAACATGCCTTAATTTGACTGATGTATTATTCTCTTCACTTTACAACTCAAACATTTTCTTTTCTTTTCTTTTTTTTAACCATAATATTGGGCGCTACTACAGATAATCCTATTGTTCCATAGTTCAATCACATCAAGCAGTATTGTACATTTGCTACCACAGGCAGTTTCAAAACATTCTTTTCCTTATTGAACTGCTTGACATCAGCACCCCTTTACTCCCCAGAAACTCTCATTCTGCTTGCTGTCCCAATAGATCCTCAATCCTGGTTTCACATAACTGAAAAACATAACAAAAATTCAATAGGGTCATCCCCAAAGACCAAATACATCTGAGATAAACCCCAATATGAACAAACAAAGAAATTACAGATCAGGCCCAATGTACATCAGAGGGGGATTAAATAAGGAGGTTTTATCAGCTCAAGTCAGGTTTATCTTTTTGACCTTCTGTAGTCATCTACCCAGTGCACTGTTTGGTAAGCAGTTTCTTCCCATCCCTCTATTGTGGATAGAGGAAAATCCCCAGAGGCTTATTTCCTCAGTAGATCTCACAAATGCATCTTGGGCGTGATGCTGCTTTTGCTAACCATTGAAAACTTGTTTTTGTTGTCAGTGAATTCATTCCTACTCAGAGTGACCCTGTGTGCAGGAGGATTGGTTCTAACTGCCAGCATCTCAACTTTTTAACAAAGTAGTCCAGTGCTCAACCGTTTGTGCAACCAGGACCTCCTGGAGGAGCCCTGGCTGCCCTGATCATGTGCTAGACTGCTGGCTGCAAGGACTTCAGGTTGAAACTGTTAACTCCTCCTCCTCCTCCTCCTCTGGGGAAAGAGGATGGATGCTTTCTACTCTTTTAGAGAGTTACTGTCTTGGAAACCCAGCAGGCAGTTCTGCTTAGCTTTGCCCTACAGGGCTGCTGTCAGTCGGCATCATCGGATACATGGCAGTGAGTGTGAGGGATTCCTGACTTCAGATTTAGCAGATAGTAAAATGACTTCACTGTTTAAATGGTTTTCTTTTAACTCCTTTATTTTTGTTTAAGAGAGGATGACACGTTTTCTGGAAAAGGCAAGATAATATTTTATATTTGTTGACCATATGCAATCTCAATCTCATCTTTTTTTACAAAACAACCTTTACAAATGTAAAAACCATTTGTCCATTGGGTCGCATTTGCCATCTCCTACTTGAAGTTTTTTTTTTATTACATATGAACTTTATTTTCTTTAACATGTGTTTAAGTAGAATCCCCCAGAGCTGAATGTTGCTAGACACATGTGTTAGAAAAGGTAGGTCTGATCAGAGAAAGCTAGAAATAATGCTTAGGATCCTTAATTATGGCTTTCACAAATATCTTTGTCTAAAGTTAGTGTGGCACAGCATCCTCTCTGAGCCTCCCTTACAGCTGTGTCTGCCAAGGTACCCTGTCCTGACCCCTGGCCAGTGAGTGCTTTTCTATTCTTACTGTCTATACAGAACAGTTTTTCCCCTAGCCCTTTGAAAGCTTTGGGGACATGCAAGTGATATGCTAATTATACTATTCTTTCTCCCTGGGATCTGGAGGATTTCAAAGTCTTAAATATGCTCTCTCTCTACATATCAGTGTCTGGCAAGAATTGGTAATTTTCTTCTTAATATCAAAATGATAGTAACCAGGAAGACTCCATTATCCTTTTGCAACTCTGAATTATTGTCACATATGGCTTCTCCACGTGTATCAGTGACTTGTGGGGAAGTAAAAGAAATAATGCTACTATGGGTCAAGGTCATATGTGCATGGATTTATTTACTTTTAAATGTTTGAACATGTGTTTGTAATCAGCGGAGGGCTAGAGAGACAGGTTTCCCCTGTGATACAATTGTAGTTTCCTGGGGTACCTTCAGAAAAGAGGTCTCATCAAACTGGTGGCTTCCAAGGAGATCTACTGGGCCTAATACTCAAGGCAGAGAGTTCAGCTCCAGTGGTTATGGTGACTGCGGATTCCAGGGGGATAATATTGGTAGATTTCCTCACAGGATAGAGGATGATCATGGGGGCTTATCCGGAAGTTTCAAGAAAATGGAAACTTGCATTGGTAAAAGGCTGTCCTATGAGAATTTCATTGGGAAACCTCACCCCATTCACCCTGTAGAACTATCTGTAATCTTTACAGCCCTGATCTTGGCTCTTCAGACTTCTGTTTGTTCCCAAACTCAAAACATTGAAAAGGGAGGGGTTTGGGTCTCTAGGATGCCAAGACTGCTGTTTTGATGTGTAAATGAAGAGCCCAGAATTCTTCTGGGGAGCGTTAGAGATGGAAACATTGTTCCTAGTTTCACATTTTCATGTTCTTAATTGGGTTCTCTCTGATTGTATAGCAGTACTTTTTAACTTACTCTCATTTTACTGGAATGAGAATTTTGAATCTTTAAAATCCTTTTTAATAAAATTTTTGAAAAATACCTTAAAATTTGGGGGAGGGAGATTTCAGCCTAAACCAATGATTTGATACTGCTAATAGCTCCTCCTGGTGATTAATAAAAGGCCATTTAATTACTTAATCTTAGCTACATTTCTTTCTTAATGAGGAAATCTTGCTATAGAGCAATAAAGAAAATTGATACATTTTTTCAGATAGGTTTTTCCCGATTCCTTTAAAAAGTTTTGTGTGAGATTCTAATTATGCTCTGTGATATGCATTATGGATTTTAACTTTACATATGACCTAGTTTATTACTGATAAACGTATGAAATTATTTTTTCTTTAATTCCAGATGGAGATCTTATCACAATTTTTGATAGCTCTGACCTTTCCTTTGCGATTCAGTGTAGTAGGATACTAAAACTGACATTATTTGGTAAGTGACCCACACTCTAGTAAATTTGTGTTATTTTTTTTTAAGACTGGATTTTTCCTTTTAAAGACAACAATTAAGTGATAATTTATCCAAAATAGTGTTTAAATTAATTTGCATTAGAGAACAGTTAATTATTTTAAGCTTCTGGCTGTGTGTGTGTGTGTATTTTAATGAGAAATTTAATTGTTACAACTGAGTGTGTTAACATTATTTTGTTTTTAACAGATATAGCTTCCATATCTCTAATAGAATATTACTGCCTTCTTTTAACCACATTATAATTTTTTTAATATAGTCTTAAAATAAAAACTAAACTTATTGCTGTTAATTCGGACTCATACCCACCCTCTAGGATGGGGGGAGAACGACCCCTGTGGATTTCTAAGACTGTAGCTCCTAACGGGTAGAATTTATCTTCTCAGAGTTTCATGGTTTCTAAATCCTCCCCTGTCAGTTAGGAGCCCAATGCTGTAACCCAATCATACACCACCAGATCATCGTAATTGACTTAACAATTCATATTTTGGACAATGAAATATATCTTAGATTCCACATCTGTGTCTAGTCCTGTTCGACTCGATGACAGTGAAAATTGAACTTAAGTTGTGTCATTTGTGTTTCAAACCTGGCTTAAAATGATTGTAAGTTTAATACTACTTTTATTTAGGTTTAAAGCTACTTTTATTAATCTGAGTTTCTAAGAATTTATCATTTTTCCTTATGATGCAGTATGGAGCCCTGGTGGGGTAGTGGGTTACACATTGGGCAGCTAACGCCCAAATCAGCTATTCACATACCACCAGCTGTCCCATAAGCGAAAGATGAGGCTTTCTGCTGTTGTAAAGATTTACAATCTCAGGATTACATGGGGGCAGTTCTTCAAGGTTGCCTTGAGTTGGAATCAACCAGATATTTAGATATTGGATGCTTTCAGACTTGTACTTTATGCATTATTTTTCAAGGAGTGGTAAAGATTAGAGATAGTTTTGTTTTAAAAAATCTAAGACTCAACTTTAATCCTTTAGATTTTCTTTTAGCTATGACAGGTTTCCCAGATAAAAGCCAATATAAAGTTGAAGTAGACATATGATTGTGTAAGAAATAAGTCATGGGCCTTTTTGTGGATATTTCATTTAGTATTGAAAAATAATGTTGCACCAAACCCAGGGAATTTCATGAGACCCCCTCCCTCTTCATGATCTCTGGAGTGAAATGTCATCTTGGCCTATTAATTTGTGTTTATTTAATCCCCATTCAGGAAGGATAAATCAGTTAAAAAGTTTTAATAGCAAGTAACATTGAAAAACTTTTAAAATTAAAGATATCTTTGTATAATATTAAGAATTCTTGGTGGTGTACTGTAGGGCAAGCCTTGGGCTACGAACTTGAAGGTTGAGAATTCCAACTCACCAGACACTCTACAGGAGAAAGAGGAGGTTATCTAGTCCCATGAAGATTTATGAATCTCAGAAACCTGGGGGTCGTGACCCCTTTGGGGGTTGAATGACCCTTTCACAGGGGTTGCCCAATTCATAGCAATAGCAAAATGACAGTTTTGAAGTAGCAACGAAAATAATTTTATGGTTGGGGGGGTCACCACAACATGAGGAACTGTATTAAAGGGTCACGGCATTAGGAAGGTTGAGAATCATTGCTATAGAGAGCTGATCCAAGTCAGAATCAACTTGAATGTAGGGTGGTGTGTATAACATTGAACCTGACTAATTAACACTAAAAAAGCCAAGTCCACTGCCAGTGAGTCCATTTTGACTCCGAGCTGCCCTAGAGGATAGAGTAGAACTACTGCGCAGGTTTGAACTGCCGACCTTATGGTGACAGCCTGATCGTTAGTCCCCAGCGCCAGTAGGACTCCTTGTAAGATTAGGTAACGTGAAATGCCCCTCCAAGAAGTGAGCACATGCTGCTTGACAAACTATTACAAAATATATTTTTGAGTTAAATAAGTTGACTCTCTCATGGATGTAAGGAGGAAATTCCAAGGCCCCAAAGTAGATGGGCCTAAAAGCCAAAGCCTAAAGGACTATAAACTAAGGTTTGGGGTGCTGTTGATAGCAACTGTCAAGGCTTTTCAACTGTATAATCTAGGGACTTAGCTATTAGTATCTAGGTATCTTAATTATCTAGGCCTGTTGTAACACAAATACAAAGGTGGGTTTTAAGGAACAGATTTATTTCTTTGAAGTTCAGGAGGCTAGAAGTCTGAATTCAGTGTGTAACTAACTCTACAGGGGAGGTTATTCCTTACCTATTTCTGCTTTATACTTGGCAGTCATTGAGATCTTGAACTTAGCTCATTTGCCTCCTGGTGTTCAGACACTGTCTGCTTTCCCTTCGTGTGCCCACTTCTGAGTGGAACATGCTCTTTTATTACTCAGAATTACTAGGTTTGGGACACAACCTCCACCAAGGTAGCCCCATTGACACTAGCAAAGAGAGCCCTGGCCCCCAAGAGGACTATGTATTCCAATACATTGTTTTGGGGGAACACAATTCAATCTACAGCAATATAGTATAGGCCTTGGGTCCTAGACCCTTTGGGTTACAATTTTTAAAAGAATATTCTACAAATCCATTGGTAGAAACATCAAGGAAGCTTGACTGTCATACTCTGGGCTATTAGCAACTTAAAAATCTTTGGGGATCGATAACCCTTGTCTTTAGATAGCATAGATAAGAATTTAACATGTCTACATATTTTGAGAACTCCCAAGTCCTCAGCTATTATAAGTTTATTAACAGAAACAAAGACAAAAACATATCCCTGGGGTAGATCCTTAATTCAGTCATACAGGTGGTTCTCAATATTTTCTTGATGAATTCGAGTTAAAACTAAGACATGAACCAATTCATGTAAGGAAGAAGAAGAAAATGGAAACTAGTTCATAGACATACTACTGTACAAGTTTTTAAAGACAGAAGGAGGGGTAAATGTATAAGGCAGTATGAGCAAAGAATATTTGAAAAATGAATTCATGGCAACTTTGAAAATGAAATGTAATTATTGAAATGCTCAGTGGATTGAGTAGATTCAACCCATTGCTGCTAAGCTGACTAGCCACAGGCAGAGTGTTGCCGACTGGCAGAGACTCTGCTGAAATACAGAAGCAAGCATGCAAACCCAGAATTAGAAACCAGAAATGAAGAACATGAAGGAAGGTGAGAAAAAGCATAATCCTAAAAAGAGTTTAAAGAAGGAAAGGATGGGGAACTGGAAATATTTGAAGACTTTTTCCATGTCATCTAAGTGAAATATATCACTGGAATGTATAAAGCACAGATAATCTTAAAAGTGGCCAGAGACAAAAAGAATAAGAATGATCACCCCCAAAGCAATTAGACTAATAAGACACTGGAACAGTAAAACGACATCTTTAAATTTACAAAACAACTGAAAAGGTACCACTCAGTAGTTACTCACATGTCACAGGTCAGTGTCTGACCTCCTCTGGCTTCACATAAGGGAAGGCAAATCACACGCCACAAGCTGATGCCCTAGGGCAGAGGTCAGACACGCCTCTAGCCTCCAACTGCTTTCCTGCCCTCTGGGCACCAATCACCCCACTGCCCCCATGCCTGCTGGGTTTTGTAATCCATTGCAATGGCCACAGACAGTATATACAGTTATGGGAGTTTAATGGGAAGTTAACATGTTACAGGTCGGGATCAGAAACCTCGGGGATATGGTGAGTTTTTTTGTCCACAGGGCCTCTTCTCAGCCATACTTGCAGACCTCTCTGGTGTTTGGCCACATGCTCTTTGGGTCTCGGCCCCATGACAAACAAAAGCTCTTGTTTATAGGAGCTAAAGCTGCTTTAACTCTGGTAAATGCCCAGAGGACACTGCTCAAGGCAAGCCTGCCTCCTGCCCAGGGGCACTTGGCTTTGGAAGTCTACCACTGTGTCTCAGGTGCTGCTGCTGCTGCTCCTCTGCTCTGTCTCGGGGTCTCGTTCTGCCCCTTTGCCTCCTCTCTACTCGGGAATCTCAGTGCTTTTCACTCGTGGCTCTTGTTTCTGGGTAGTCATGGGATTCTCTCTTCCTGTTTCTGAAGTGACTCACTCACCTTACACCTACTGAATTGGCAAAACTGACCAATCCTCATCCTCTATCTACACCTTATTTCCATGCTGCTCCACCAAGCCATTTGGTGGGAGTAACAAAGACCATGGGGAGAAGAGCCATACATACCAAATCATTTCACTTTACTATACTATTCAAGATTTTGGAGAAATAACAGTTTCAAACAAAGGCTCATAGAGACCTCTTGAAATAAAGTGTTAAAGGTGGATCTTTAGTAAACAGGACATTAAAGCAGACGGAAGGAGGGAGGTGAATGATATAAGAAGCAATTGTGAGCAAATATACGAGGTAGTGTGAAAAATTACATGACCATTTACTATAGACATGCTAGTTTTAGGAATATAAAAAGCTGAGGCTAAAATGCTAAGCACAATATGTAAGACAGGTACACGTGATAATTAAATTTTAGAAATATTTGTATTACTTGATGGGAGGGGAGAAGTTTACTTAAGGTTTTTATTCATTGAGGTATTTAACATGCAAGGATGACTGGTGAAAAACCGAAATAGCCAGTAAATCAGAAAATGTAATCCAAGCATACCTACTCAGCTCACTAAAAGAAAAGAAACTTGATTAAATGGAAGGCATAACGAATGTAGTAGTCACAGTACATATAAACTGACCAAACACTAGTTAAAAGACAACATTTTAACTGGTGTTTAATAAAAGTTAAAAACAAAGTCTCATTAACCAATTGTAACAGTGAGAAACGGTGAGAAGGTTGAAGCTATCAAGGACTTTGTCTTACTGGATCCATGAGCAGCAGTCAAGAGATCTGAAGATTCATTGCATTTGGTAAATCTGCACAAGACCTCTTTAGAGTATGAACAGCAAGGATGTGACTTTGAGAACTAAGGGGCGCCTGACCCAAGCCATGATATTTTCAGTTGCCTTGTATGCATGTGAAAGTTGGACATTGAATGAAGAAGAATCGGTGCATTTGAATTACTATTCTGGAGAAGAATAGTGAAAGTACCGTGGAATGCTAACAGGGCAAACATCTGTCTTGGAAGAAATATGGCTAGATTGCTTCTTAGAGGCAGCGATGTCTCCACTTCCTCTTACATACTTCGGACCTACCCTGGAGAAAGAAAGCATGCTAGGGAAAGTGGAGGGGTGGAGAAAAAGAGGAAGACTCCCAATGAGATGGATTGACACAGTGGCTGTGACAGTGGACTCGGGCACAGGACATTGTGAGGATGGCACAGGACCGTGCGGTGTTTCCTTCTGTTGTGCACAGGGTCTCTATGGGTCAGAACCGACTCCATGGCACCTAATAACAATAATGCTGCTTATAAGAGACATACCTAAAAGATTGTTCTTCAAATTAAAAAAAAAAAAAAGACAAACCCACAAGCTGATTATTAACAGTGTAGTCTCTAAGTAACAATTTTAGTAATAGTCACTTCATATTGACAAATCACTAGGCCAACATAATGCTTGAGGACACACAGTTTTGAAGTCTATAAAGAGAAATTGAGAAAAGGAAGAATCAAGTGAGAGTTGTCAGCACTCAGGCTCAAATTAATGAAACGTGGAAAAGACTTGAAGTCAGGTAACCACTTTGATTTTATTTAACAACAATCAGGAGTGAATACAATGTTTATTCAAATTGACCATCTATCTTAGTAAATTTCATTTAAGTAAATATCAAAGAGGTACAGAGATCACATTCTGTGACCTCAGTAGACACCCTTGGACAAAAACAAAAAAGATTGCATAAACTTTCATACTTTGAGATAAAGACATGTTTTATATAATACGAGTCAAAGGGGAAAAACTTGAAATTAGAAATAGTGTACTATAGTGACTTCTACATAGCAAGATTTATAGAATACATTAAAGTTGTCCTTGGAGGGGCATTTATAGTCAAATCCTTATCTAGCAAGTTGGAGAATTATGAGCTAAGCAATGTTGACAAAAGAATCAGCAGCGAAGGGCGGGCATCGGACCATCTCCAGCTTCACAAGGAAGAAAGAATCTAAAGCCTCTAGCTTTTCTCAAAGTCCATTTCTATGAGTCTGAGGTCAGACTTCGCCCACAGCCTCCCAAATCTACACCAACTGCCCCTCCCATAGCAGACTAGTCAATGTAATGGCCACAGAACTCACAGACAGTACTCACGATTTGGGGGGTTATTAAGGAAGTGAACGGGTTACAAATACAAAGCACAGCATATAGTTGCTCGTCTCAGCAGTGCTCACAGGCAGGCCTCTCTGGTCTTTGGATTCACAGCCATGTGACCCATTGCCCTCTGCCCTGTTTGTGCAGGGTTTCAAAGCTCATTTAGGGTTGCCAGTAAGTGAATAAAGGGTGTGCCTCCATAAACCTCAGACCTGAAGGCACTCAATTTTTGCTCCATGGGTCAGCAAGCCTCCTCTCCTAATTAAGTGCCTGGCGGTAGGTACCCCACTCCACAAGCCAGCATCCTGCCCCAAAGGCACTCAGCCTCCCGTAGGCTGGGAGGGTCACCGCCTTGGCTCTGTGCTTCTTGGTTCTGCTGCTGCCAGTCCTTTACTACGACTCCGTTGCTTCTCTGGTATCACAGCTGTCTTCTGTGGTGATGATTTCTTGTAGAAGAATTAATACCAAACTAGTCCCAAGAAGTTGGAAATTGAGAAAGCCCTAAAACTCCCACTCTTGCAAGGTGATAGTCTGCTCCTTTCCCCTCACTCCCCCATGTCTGTGGGTTCTGAGAATTGTTGCATTGCCCCCACGGAACTCACAGAAGTCTGAGGAAATGTGTCATGCTGTGGTGGGTACAGTTCAGTCCAAAGGTCAGGCAGGGGTAAGCCAGACACTGTGACTGGACTGGAGGACGCACTGCACTCCTGGTTTTTGATCGCACCACCTGCTTGTCAGTGGGCTCATTTTATACGCAGCATTATGGCATTGCAGGGTGACCTGTTCACAGGTGAAGCTTACCTGTATCTTCCCTTAACCAGACCCATGCAGGATCATTTGGTGGTAGGTACATGGTACAATCAGATTTCCGCCAAATGTAATAATCTAGGCTCTACTGGACTGTATCTTACATTTATGCACATATGACCTGATTGGCTATCTTACTAAGTCTTATTAAAGCAAGAGAAGTGGAATGAGGCTAAAGCTGTAATTGATAGCGTAGCGGCAGTCAGTAATGGGATGTTCCTGTTTTTTTGTGAGTTCTGACATGACTGAGGAGCCGCCTTAGTCTTGTCTGATGTTAGCCAGCAAACCCGGCCTCCCTGTGAATGCCCAGCCAGCGTGTAGCAACACTAAGGCCTCTCCTGTAGCATCTGAGGAGCTGCTTTTCCCGGTCTCGTGTGGGGGGAAAACAGCCGGAGCCAGCACAATCAGTCATTTATGTAGGTAGAAGATTGCATTCATCTTCCTTACACCTAAAAAAGGAGTGTGTAAAATACGAATGAATTGCCTCCTGGAAGTAGACCGTATACTCCTGTTAATAATTTGCCACTTGGAGCATGTTTAACAATCAAAGAACCGCTCTAAACCTTTATCACATAGATGCCCGTCATTAGTAGGCACTTCGAGACTTTGTGTGTGTAATGGCAGTGCAGAAAGCATTTTAGTTTAGTTTTTGATCATTTGGGATTTGCATGTAGAGGTTTGGGTCACTATTTTTTTGTCTCTTACTGGAGAACAGATTTTTTTTTCAGTCAGCTGAAATCATTTGGATCAAGTAATAATTAAATCATGTTTCATTATAGCTAAATTCTTACAAACCTCGTATACCAGGATGATCTGGCATCTGGAAACATCGATGGAAGTAAGTTATTTAGCAATTAGTAATCCTTTCCTTGAAGGTAGTGCTCAGGGCCATCAGTAGGTATCTTGTTTCCCCTTTTTAAAGGACGCTTATTTTTCCTTACAGCATCGTTCTGCATATACATGTATTTCAAAGACATCTCCTGATTTTAATCAAATGACTCCTTTTATTCCAGTTAATGGCCAACCAAGGCCCCTTGAATCAAGCCAGGTGAAATACCTCCGTCGAGAACTGATAGAACTTCGAAATAAAGTGAATCGATTACTGGATAGCTTGGAACCCCCTGGAGAACCAGGACCTGCCACCAATATTCCTGAAAATGGTGGGCCATGTGCTTATTTTGTTCTGATTTATTATTCTCTCCCCTGTGGATCTTATTTTTCCTTAAACTCTTCTTCAGTTGGAATAGGTTGGCACTGTCAGTGTTGCTTTTTCTTGTTCCTGTCTCTCCTAGGGTTCATGGCTATAGTCCCAAACCTGATTGTTGATCAGGGTCATGGGGATGTTTCTTTCCTGCACTTAACCTTATCCTGTTGACTGTGTTCCTTGGAGGGGCGGCCTGAATCCCCGTTGTGAAGTACCGTCTGTGATGAGTCTGCATCTGCTGGGCTTGGTTTGGGTCTGACTCAGCACCTCCACCTACAGCAGATGGAACATTATCTGCTCTGGCACCATCTTCATAATTGCTGCCCTGGAGCTCCTCGTGGTAGCCACTGCCAGGCAGTCTGCCCTGTTGAGGGTCATTGCCGTTTTTTCTGGTCCGCTTTGTCAAGGCAAACCTACTCATTTTCCAGCTTTTGTATGCACGTGACGTGATTGTGGCTTGGGCTAGGCACACCTCAAAGTGACGTGGAGTGCATAAGTAAAATGATTACAGGTACTCTTATTCCTCATATTTTTAGATGCTGTGGATGGTAGAGAAGAAAAATCTGCTGCTTCTGATTCTTCTGGAAAACAGTCAACTCAAGTTATGGCAGCAAGTATGTCAGCTTTTGATCCCTTGAAAAACCAAGATGAAATCAACAAAAATGTCATGTCAGCATTTGGCTTAACAGATGATCAGGTTTCAGGTACGTTGGTTTAGTTAGTCTACCTTCTTGTTCATCCTGTCCCATCCCATTACTTCTGTTTCCTTCGGTTCCTCCTTTAAATGAAGGGTCCCTTAGATGGGATGTTTGTAAATCTGATTGTTTGGTGTAGTAATTTTTTATTTACAGTGTGTACAGCTTTCTAAACATCAAGTAGATCAAGATGTAGATGTTTCCAGCACCCAGCAGGCTTTTTGTCCCCTCTCCCAGTCCACAGCACACAGCTCTCTCCCTTTTAAGGGACAGGCACTTGTGGTCTCAGATATGTTTTGTGCAAAATAAAATTAGAATTATTATTTTGATAATATTCACTTGGTAGGAATTATCTTTTCTGATCTTAAATTAAGAGAAATTGAAATTGAAACCAAAATGTGGTTGAGGTACTGGGGTGTGTAGAAGGTACAAGCATTTTTTTTAACCTTAAAGCAACATCAATACTGTGATAGGTTATTTTTATATTTCGGTCGTCATTTTCAGCATTTTCCCCATGGTGCTGGGAAAGAGCTTGATAGTGTCCCACAGGTCTTTTGAGATTTGTTCATTTTTTTTTCTTCAATATTTTTCTCTTATTCTAGTTGGTGATTTTTCTGTTATAGATGGATTTCTCTTCAGGTTCACTAGTTCTTTCCATCTTTCATCTGTGTTTGGACCTTTCTAGTGTGTGCTTCATTTCATTTATTGTACTTTTTGCTCTAGAGCTAACCTTTTGATTCTTGTTATCACATCCATTTTTTGTTTGAGATTCCTTAATCTTATACTCATCAGGGTTAAATTTTCCTGTAATTGAAAGAATTTATAGTAGCCTTTTCCCCTGATGAGTTATATGGGTCCTACTTTCCCTTTGGCTGAAAACTTGATGTTGAGGTTAATATGTTGGAGAGACTTGGGGTTCTTTTGATGATTGGTTATATCCTTTCTATGAGAGGATTAACCTGTGTGGATTCGGGCTACCCTGTCCACCCTGTGTCACATAGCCGCTGAGCTCTCTGATCAGCGCTTTCAGGTCTGGTGGCTGCTTTTGTCGCTGACGTGCTCTTGGTACACACTGACAGGGGGTGTGACCCCGGCGTGCTTTGCTGGAGAGCTGCAGTGGACACTCAGATTTGGGTCTCACTTCTTCTGCAGCTTTCTCATGTACAGATTTCCAGCTGTGCCAGGTAAAATCAGTAACACTGGTTTCTGCTAATGGAGCTGCAGAGGCTCGGCTGAAATTCTTACCCATTACAAATTCGTTGGGAAAACCTCAGGTTCCTGCCTACATTTGCTGGACTTCATTGATCCACTGAGTTTAGTTAACTTTTTTGTCCGATTTTCAATTGTTACCCATGAGAGGGTTTACTGGCTAATTTGTTATTAGGTGCTGTTGAGGAACTAGAGGATTAGATATGTTTGTTTTGTTTTTCTTTGAGAGATTCTTATGAGATTACTCACTAAAGAGAATGTGAAATTCTAAAGAAATATTTGTGTATGACATGTTTTTGATACAAAAAGGATACCAATCAAGTGATACATGAAAATAAACATTTTTAGAGCAACTGAGCAATGAGTTAATATTCTACCCATATAATATTTAAGTCTTCAGGAACCATCAAACAGAGGTGTCAATAGTTGAGGTTAAAAATTTACATTTGGATTATCTTTAGAATGCCTATTTTGACTGTTGCTATACTGGACTCTCCCCGTTCAGGTTGTTCATTGTTCTAGAAGTTGTTTTCGGTGGCTCTCTGGTGGACTATAGTGTAGGCATTTGGCTGCTGACATTAAGATGAGGCTGTCCACTCCCGGAAAGCTCGATAGTCGCAGACACTAGTTACGGTTGCTGTAAGTTGGTATCAACTGAATGGAGTTTCAGTGTGTATGTTAGGATCCTAGGCCTTGTGAGGCAGACAGAAAGAATCAAAGGGGGATCCTCAAAAGAGCTCAAAGTTTAAGGGGAGATGGTAAGAAATGGAAGGTACAAATTGGCAAGGATCATAAGTATGGAAGGTAAGAAATACAGTATTTATTGACTCAGAAGACTTGCTAGATGTGGAATTAATTATAACTGGGTTTAAGGATTTCACTTATGTTCAAATGTGTGAACATGGAACAGGGGTAGAGGGAATGAAGATGAGTGGATGGAGGAAACAAACTAGCTATATTGTAGAACAGGGAGGTCAGATTAGTAGGTGGGGTGAGGGGGCAAAATTTGGACATGTGCGAAGAGCAGCCGTGAGAAATACTTGGATTCAACTTGATTTATGGGCAGTAGAGACCCTTTAGAGAATGAAGGATACTTTTGGTTGATAGATAAAATGGATTTCTTAGGGGGTGGTAGGCTGTTAGCATTGTGTGGAGGACTTGGTTTTTGCAGGTGAGGTTAGGCGTCAGGAACACAGTGTTCTAGTTGTAGCTATAGATTCCTTAAAGGCGGGAGCAAATGCAAAAATAAATGAATGCTGTTCATTGCAGTTGAGTTGAGTGACGCCTGTGTGGAAAGAACTGTTCTGTAAAAGCAAGATGGCCAGGCTTGTCTCCCGAGGGGCGCGCAGAGTGGCTTCAAACTGCCAGTCTTTTGGGTAGTGTTGAGGGCTTAACTGTCGGTGCCACTAAGGGGTTTCTTAGAGTGCCTATCTAATCGGGCTTGTTAAGGGAATGACACATTGTATTTCAGACACTAAATTGACTTTTCATCACCACCCAGGGCCACCTAGTGCTCCTGCCGAAGACCGATCGGGAACGCCTGACAGCATTGCTTCCTCTTCCTCAGCTGCTCACCCACCAGGAGTGCAGTCACAACAGCCACCATACACAGGAGCGCAGACACAACAAGCAGGTCAGATGGAAGGTAAACTAGAGCTTAGAGCACAGGTGGGGAAAAAGGTTTGTGCCAGTGTCCCTGAAAGTTTTTGATTTACTGACATGGTATAATTTGAGGTTAAAAGAATAAGTAGAATGTGTCACTGTGCTTCCAGTTGTCGAAAGAGAAACAAACCTACAGTGTTTGTGTGAGTGAAAATGGTACATGAATCAGGAAATATTCTTACCAGTCAGTAGTGACTTGTGGGGAGAGAGGAATTGGAACGAGGACATCACACTTCACTTTGCTTATGCTTGGGGGTTGCTTTATATGCTTTGCTAGCGCCCCACTGCCCCAAACCAAAAGCCAGAACTAAACCCATTCTCTGGGGTCAGTTCTGACTCCTGATAGACTGCCTGCAGGGTTTCTGGGACTCCGTGTTGGAGCAGACAGCTTCACAGTTCTCTCGAGCAGCTGGTAGGTTTGAACTGTTGAACTTGTGGCTGTCTCAACACTTGGCCCACAGTGCCACCAGCTGTGTATTTTTGTAATTAAAAAATATTCAACAGAGATCAACGTACAGAAAAGTTTATGTACCTAGATAACTAGTACACCATGTCTGGGGAAGATTAATAGCTCTTTATATTTTTGAGCTGTTAGCAATAAAGCATTTCATTTATAGAAAAAACAGTGTATTTTAAGTCAAGCTGTTCTCTAAGTAAATAGAACCTAGGTTGAGTAATTTAGTCTCTCTAGGTTTCGATAAGTTCTCACTGCAAATTGAGTATTGGACTAACTTATTGGTGTTCAGAGAATACCTTTAACCCTGAGTGATACATGACTTGGAAGCTCAGTATTTAAGACTGATAGAAGGGTAACTGCTGGTGTTGAAGGGGCTTGCGGGGCCCCCGAGCACATTACAGTTACCCATTTCACATAAAAACAACCACCAGGTGGTGCTCTAGTTGTGTGCCTATTAAGGAGACGGGGAAAAATACTTACCATAGCCTAAAATGAACTGGTAACTTTTAGAACATGGGCCTATCCTCTTGTGATAAGCTTTCAGCGCTGTCTCCTGAGTTGAGTATTAGTCATTAGGAACTAGCACGTGACCTTGTGCTTGGAGCTTCAGCCTCTTGAGTCAGAAGTAACTTTTGATGGCAGTGGGTTAGGGCTTTTTTGCTCCTCACCAGCTTTAGTCACTGTGCTTGTACTGAGATGCAACTTTCCAGGACAGGACACACTTTAACTGAAGCAGAGAGGGGTAAAACAGGTGAACTAAAAACTGTCTATTGTAACATCCTCTTATAAAGCAGTGTTTAGTGTTTGCAGAGAGAAAGAGAGCTGGCAAGGTAATTTTACCAGATGTTTCCTATTCACTTAACAAAAGAATGGAATTTAATTCTACTAGTAATATCTCAGTTTATTGTATCAAAGCTTCATTTAAAATAAATTCATTTTCAAAATAAGTGAAATTTAAAAGATGACACAAAGTGAAACGTTAGCCAAGTACTACCTCGGACCAGAGGCACACGATGACCATTGCTTGGTGTGCATTGCAATTTCTCCTGACTGACATTAATTGCTTCGCCAAAACCCACTTTTAGCTTACGTTAAAACATGCAGCATGAAAATATGCAGTTTAGTAATGTGACTTCAAAGAAATACAGTGCTTCAAATAGTCACATTTGAAGAAAATGAAAATTTAGTGTTGCATGTGGTTGGGTTTACATTTTCTCTCACTTGGTTTTGGAAATCTGGTGTCATTGAAGTGCGACGCACATCACACTCCCACTGGCCACGCTTCATCCCTCCGTAGGCGCCTTTGGCAAATGATGGCAGTAGCATCTTCTCCAGTAGCTGTCGAGTTGGTTTCAACTCAAACAACCCATCATTAGAATGATTGGAAAGTAGAGATAATGACATGAAGCAGTAAATCTTAATTTTTGTAAAGTTGTAGCTGCAAATGTTTAGAACATTTCTCCATAGGAGACGTGGTCCACTGACTTCCTCTCCAGTGTTAGCAGGTCTGCTATTTAAAAGTACAGCGTGGAACCATTGAGCATTATCCGATGCCACGTTTGGTTAGGGCAAGCAGGTGACAGATGGCTCTGAAGTAAAAGGATAGTATGTAATTTTTTCTTACCCAAAGGGTCCTATTGTTCGATAACAAATTCAAGTCCAGATGATGCAGTTGATCGGTGTAGTGCTTTGGAAAAGATTCCAAAGCCATTAACGGTATTGTTTTTATTTTATTACTCGATTTTTACTGGACACAGAATTGTTTTCAGTGTTTATCTGTTGGTAGTTCAGATTTGAAAACTTGCTTTTCTGGTGGTAGTTATGAGGTGGTAGCCACTAGTGTGAGTGTGTGCGATTGTGTGTTTTAGGTCAGATGTATCAACAGTACCAGCAGCAGGCCGGTTATGGCCCTCAGCAGCCGCAGCAGGCCCCAGCTCAGCCTCCACAGCAGTACGGTGTTCAGTATTCAGGTGAGCAGATGGTCACAGGGACTTGGCTTGTGGTCTTTGAGCTGTTCAAGTGCTCATTCACTGGAAGCTCTTTCTCCTAGTTCTTCGTGGTGTGTACATTATCAGAGAAAGGATTAACTCTTTAGTGGGCAAAATGTCAGCCAGCCTATAAATTTCTCAGTGGACAGAAAACGAGCAAATGATCCCCTATGTAGTTGTAAAATGCAAACCTCTCTCATTCACGTTATCAGCGTACCTTTTGTGTAGTAACACTTGAACTCTTGTGATATACAGTAGTGTACTCTTAGTATCTGTTGAAATATTTAACTTTCTTATACATGGAAAGGTGTTAAGTAATAAAATTATCTAAAATAATTCAGGCAACTCTAAGCTTAGTTCTCCTTTTGTTTAAACCAGGGGGTCCTCAAACTTTTTAAACAGGGAGGCCAGTTCACTGTCCCTCTGACCCATTGGAGGGCTGGACTATAGTTTAAAAACAAATGGGGCAAAACCACCTGGCAGGCCGGATAAATGTCCTCAGTGGGCCGCATGTGGCCCGCAGTTTCTAACCAGATGTGCTTAAGAATTGGTTGGAGAGCCTTCTGAGGTTTAACATGGACCCCACTCTCATAGATTTTTCTATTTGGTCCGGAGGAGGACACCACCTCACTGTTTACCAATTACATTCAGACTTACAGGAACTCCATAGGGCAGAGCAGAACTGCCCCTCTGAGTTTTTGAGACTGTAACTCTTTACAGGAGTAGAAAGCCTCATCTTTCTCCTGCGGATTGACTGGTGGTTTCAGACTGCAAACCCTTTGGTTAGCAGCCCAGCATGTAACCCACTATACCAGTACAGCTCCAGGAATAGGATGAGCTTTGGTCAGCAAAAAGCATTGCAGGCCATTTTAATGAGCCAACAGGGTCTGGTACATATGACTGATTGGGTCAATGATTGTGACATGTCCAAGGATGCACAGCCATTACGTGGAAGAGCTGAACCAGAACCCATCTCTGATGTTACAGTGAGGTACTACTTACCATGCGGCATCCTCCAACCTAAACCAGGGCTTGGCAGGCCTGTGACTCCCTGTCATAGAGGTAGGAGGGAGACTCCACAGACACCGTAGAAGGAGTGCTGCACTGTGGTCAAGACCAGTAGCCTGCTGCTAATGAAATGGCATCTTTCGGGTAATTTCTTTTGCTGGGCAATACTTAAAGATTTGATTGCATCAAGATACAGTTTTAAAAAGAGTTTCAGTTGCCTGGATTAAAAGGAAGCAGTTCAAACAAATTTTCTGTTGTGAATTCAGTAGACACTTGGCAGCATAGCTGCTGAATCTCTCTTAAAATAGAAAAAAGTTAAGATTGTATGTCATTCAAGATTTTCAAAATTTTATCCTAAATTGATCAGTCTTAAATAAAATGGTTCCTATATTTTATTTATTTAGAAACATTATGAGCACTCTTGATGATCTTAGTCAGGGTCTTCACTCTAAATTATTATCTTTGCATTTCTGATTCCCCTTAGTCGGTTTAGTTTGAATTTTATTGACTCTGGAGATGGGGATCCCCCTTAGTCGTTTTAGCTGGCGGTGGAGCTCGTCCACAGGACTCGCTCAGAGGTTGTTACGTGGCATTGGGCCATCGTTGACCCTGTTGACCGCTCCTCTGTAACATTGTCTGCTTTTGTCCATGGATTATGTCCAAAAGGTTTCTTTCATGAGTAAATTTTGAACCCAGGTTCAAGGTGAGTTCAGAATCTACTCAAATTTATTCAATCCTCTTATTTTTAATCTAAATACAGGGTTGTTTGCATTTTAATAATTTTCTTATGTATCTGGTGTTTAATGCTGACAGGATTCCAGTCAATGGAGAGGTTTCATTGCAAGTAGCTGCAGGTGTGTTTCATGGGAGAGATTAATTCCAGTGAAGCAGACTTTTTCTTTAAAAAAAAATTACAAATGACTTTCGACATTGGTTTGCTTTTTATGTGTTATGCTGTTACTGTTAAATCATTGAATTATATGAAGGTAAAGTATCAGATACCAAGTCTAAAGGAAATGATTCTAAAGATCTTGAAAATGGGTACTGAGGGTGTATTTTTTAAGTGGCCTAATTTTTATAGATAAAAACAACCTTAAAGCCCCTCACTAGTGAAATGAGAAGTATTTGTTCCACTTACAATCATTCATTCTCTGCAAACTGTCTTTATTTTGGACGAGTATGAAGCCCGCCCTCAAAACCAGGTTAAGAACTGCTCTGCTCTTGCAGTTTTGATATTCCTAGCCAGTACAGAGTATAACAGTTATGCATTTATCATTTGAGCACCTGTTCTGTACTAGGAATTATGCTGGGACAAGGTTCTTGCCCTAAGGCATTCTATAGTCTAGAAGCAGTTGTAGGTTTAAATATTACCTGTTTAGTTTTGAAAATAATATACGATGAACTCTACCCCTTGGTTACTTAGAAGTTTGTTAAAGTTAGCACTTTACATAATAGGTTGTTTTATTTTGCCTTTACAGCAGCAAACTATAGCCAGCAACCTGGGCCCCAGCCACCTCAGCAGTTCCAGGGATATGGCCAGCCACCACCTTCGCAGGCACCAGCTCCTGCCTTTTCTGGTCAGCCTCAACTGCCTGCTCAACCTCCACAGCAGTACCAGGCCAGCACTTACCCTCCACAAACTTACACTTCCCAAACGTCTCAGCCTGCTAATTACACGGTGGCCCCTGCCTCACAACCTGGAATGGCTCCAAGCCAACCTGGGGCCTACCAACCAAGACCAGGTTTCACCCCACCCCCTGGAAGTACCATGACCACCCCTCCTCCCAGCGGGCCGAACCCTTATGCACGTAACCGTCCTCCCTTTGGTCAGGGCTATACCCAACCGGGACCTGGTTATCGATAAGGAGGCTCCGCTATGCTGATGCAGGTAGTGCTTTGTCTCCTAAAAGACTCCAATACTACTTACTTTATTTTAATTTGATTGAAGGTCAGATTTAAAAAGCAGAACATTTTTTATGATATCATTGTTGCTGTTAAATTGAAAATATAATTTGCTGGAAGACAGAAAAGACAAAATGAACATGTTTCTTTCCCTGCTTTAAAATGTAGCAGCTTCCTAGTCATTTCATTTCGGAACACTACTCCTAAGTCTGTGAAGTGATTGACTTTCCAGCTCGCCTCGTTCTGAGGATATTAAAATGATAGCTCTTTATTCTTCACATGATGTACTAAAATAGATCCCCTCTGAGAAGTCAACTAGATATTCTGTAACACTGATAGGCTAATAAAGGTGATTGAATCCGGTAGTGGTCTTGGATTTTAATTGAGTTACTAACATTACATATACATGACAAAGGCAAGAACAGTTATATTTTGTGGGTGTTTGACCTTAAAATGAAGTCAAAACACATTAACTCACAGTGTTTGGCTTTTTTCTCCTTGAATCTTAAGTAGGTTTTTATAGGAAGAAAGACTAGCTTCAGATACAAACACCAGGATACAGGGGAGTTTGGTAGATCCCGAATATCTCAGATATTCCTGAGAGAGATAAACTTGTAGTTACATGTTCTGGTGAACCAGTCATGCTATATTCCTAAAATCAACAAAAACAACTTTAGTGCAGCACTTACGGTTGAAAAATGAAGCATGTGCTGAAGACCAAGCACAGGAGAAAGGGTCTTTCAGATAGAGGGACATAATGCAGCATTCCACCTCCCTCCCCAGATGAAGGAAAACCATACTTTTTCATAAAAAATGAGTTAGATTTTTTGTTAAACAATTATGAAGACATTTTATGCATTCATTCTTAGCGATCTTACATATACAGACTAAATTATAAAATGATGGGGAGCTCATATTGCATTCTCTTTGTGCTCAGACTTCACGCCCAGTCTCTGCGAACAACTTAGATCAAATCATGAAGACAACAGCATAAAGCTAGTTTGACAAACAAGTACAGACTACAACATGTGTCTGCACAGGGAAAGAACAATCCATTAGCTCCTCCTTGTGTTATCAGCTGAAGTGAAAGCTTACGGATTCGACAATTCAGGCATTGGCAGGCATTTCAAGACACGTTTATTACTGTGTGTTTAGTTAATCTCTTCAGAAAAGCTATTCAACTGTTGCTAACAAGTGGAAGTTTAAATAAACATGACTATTAGGGACTTTTCTTTCCTAGATATGCTGAAGATAATTTGATCCAATAAGTTAAACTAAGATTTATGGAAGTGACTGACCAGTTGAAAAAGTATATGCTTAGAAAGTAAGTATCTTCCCAAAAGAATATTGTTTTTTGATATAATGTTTTTTGAGACAGTTCTACGGCAAAATTAACAACACTGTGATAAATATACAAATGATCTCTTAAAATACCATGACTAGGGAGCCAGCTTCCCTAAAAGTGTTATTCTGTTAATAGTTAGCTTTCTTAAAATGACTTTGTAAAACCTGATAAATATTCTCAGTCTTTTCTAATAATAAACATCTACTATTGCTATTAAATTTTAAACTTTTACACATAGTAAACAGAACAGCTTAAATGATGTGACAAATCCTGTAGTCTCTCATTTTACCAAGAAGTAAAAGGTCCTTTTCAGCATGGTGACAGCATTTACCATTTCCCTGGTATTGTTGTCCCGCACTCATACCACTGGACATAATTGATGTGGGTGTGGCCACCTATTTCTCCAAACTGGACCGGTTCCTGGCGAACTGCTCTGAAATAGCCTGAGAGAGATAATCATTCACTGTAACATTTGCTCCATGACACTTTTGCCCTCCCTGGGTGTAGACTGAAGTATGTCATGGAGTGAGTGGAGGTGACTTGGTGAAGCAGTATGTTCAAGAAAACCACCGCTGAGGGGCCCCTAGAGCCTTTCCAGATGCAGTAATGGCTGGCTAGAATTGGCCGTCTGGAGGAAGTTGGCATTTGCTCACCAAGTTTAGAGCTGAAAAGAGAGGTGGTGATGTTTTGATGTTGTGTGTTAATCCCACTCTACATCTTACTGGAATGTGTTCTTGTGCATATGAAAGGCTACTGCTGTCTATGAAGAACTGACCCCAGTCCCAGTCGCCCACAGAATAGGACTTCAAAATGAGGACAGTTCTGAGATGGTTAAACTTGTACATACTTAACTGACTGCAGTGCTGTGACATAATTGAAAATTTCACTGGGACATGTTACAGAAACAATTCACCGTGGACGTTCCTATGAGGGAGTTTGAACTGCCAGTTAAATGGATTCTCTGGACGTGAGCCATCTGTTAGTACTGATGCTCTTTGGGCTGATAACCTTTTGAGTATATGTGCAAAATGTGTTGCTGAAAAACCTGTCGTCATAGTTAATGTATTAAATAATCACAAAGAACCTTCTGGTAGTTATTAATATGAAAGCACTTTAAAAGTTTGTGGGAAAATTCCATTTTTTCATTCCATGACCCCACCCACATTTCGAAGCCTCCCCCTATGCTGCACAGTACTAATGTGCCTTCAGCAGAAGCACGTTCATTGAGCAGAACTGCTCTAATGGAATTGTATCTACAAAGTGAATCAGTTCTGTTTATGGCAGCAAAGCTTTTAATTTTTGAAAGAATAAAATAATGCAGGTGCTGCTTGGTAACCCACAGAGGTACCTGAATGACGTATGTTTGGGAAACACTGCTTTTTTATTGCTATTGTGCAAATTCAGATTTTCACGAGGTAGAATGCATTCATGTGTGTGTGTTCCATATTGAAGTCTTAATTTTCTCTAGTCTGGTAATTACAGCATGGTGCTGTGAGATGAAGTCTGTGTCAGTGATGGCTTTCCTTGCTGGGTTAGTGTGCAAGCGCCTTGCAGCTGAGGACCAAAAGCATACCTTCTTTGGTGGGTAACTGATCAGAGGTGAGTTGCTGTCCTGTGCGTCCGTCTAAGAACGAATCTACGAACTGACAGTGATCTTCACCGTGACCCCTCAGGTCACCTATGTTATAAAATTTTCCTGAGGAACCAGAAATTGAAAGGGTAATGGTGTTATTTTCTTTGCTATGTGGCAGTTATAAAATAGTCATTTCAAATAATTATTCTTTCCTATTCTTAACACCTCCCATCCTTCACCACCACCACCACCATCTCGAATGTGCTACATCAAGCCACCTGTGCCCCTTGCCTGAACCACTGAATAGTCTCCCCACTGGCCTCTAGTTCATTCTCACCTCCCTATAATAACGTATTCCTTCCCACTCCCAGAGAGCAGTGATCCTTAAAAAAATGCAAGTCAGATAATGTTATTCCCATCATACTCAAACTTCAAAGCCCTTCCCATGGTTCTAACGCCCCACATGACTTCATGCCACCTGTATGGAGGCTCTTTTCAACTCCCGTGCTTCCTCATGGGGCCTCAACTGCTGGAGGAATGGCCTTTGCACTTTCTCGGAAGCACAAGTGTTATTCAGAGGGGCCTTCCCCAACTAACCATTCTAGCTAAAGGCGCTTCCACTCTGCTCAGCTGTTCTCGTTTAAAAAGTTTTTCTCCAAAGCAGTGTGAAGAGATTTTTATTAACATACTGTCTTGTCTCCACTAGCAGGAATGCCTTATTGATTGCTTTGTCTCCAGCTCTGGCACAAAACCAAAAAACCAAACTCACTGCCATCGGCCCTGTACGTTTCCAAGACTGACTGTTTATGGGAGTAGAAAGCCCAGTCTTTCTCCCCCCCCAGAGCTGCTGCGGTAGCGAACTGCCAACCATGCAGATCGCAGCCCAACTCATAACCACTACCCCACCTGGGATCCTTGCCTGGCACAAAGCAGATCCTGAATGATTGAACAACCACATGTCTATGTTGGACCCAATCTTTTTTTTTATGAACACTTTAGTTGTGAATATTGAAAGTGAAATGATCTACGGGGCTCTGAGCAAGCGGTTATAGCCCTTCTGGTCTAGTGTATGTAATTATTATCTGGCAAATCTTAAAGTCATGGTTCGTCCATGACTATGTTAGGAGCACGTGTTATCAGGCTTTCATCATCAGATGGCTGTGACAACATTTCATCTGCCAGTCCCTCTTCATTCAGTTTGTCCTTGTTGGCACTGTTTCAGACTGCATTCTCTGTTCCCGTTGAATTCCATATCTCAAAGCCTGTTTCCTAGACTGGTAAGTATTTTAATGGCACCTTTACGGAGGAGGAAATTAGCTTGTATTTACAGCTTACTAATGCAGTGGTTCTCAACCTGTGGGTCGCGACCCCTTTGGGGGGGGGTGTCGAATGACCCTTTCACAGGGGTTGCCTGATTCACAACAGCAAAATTGCAGTTATGAAGTAGCAATGAAAATAAGGTTGTGGGTGGGGGGGTCACCACACATGAACTGCATGAGGGTGGCGGCGTGAGGAAGGTTGCGAACCACTGTGCTAATACATAGAACTCTCCCTAGGAAATACCCAGTGACAGGAAGGGAGACACCCACAGGTGGCCCGGCCCCTGCTTACCTGAGAGGGAGTCGCTCAGGTAAATCTTGTACCTGAGAGAGTTGCACAGCTGCACCCCAACGAACTTCTTATACCATGTCCTTTTGACATACTGCTTGCCTTTACACTCTGAGTACGAGTCTGAACTAAAGGGTCTCTCCGTCCAGATGGCATCTCTTCCTGCTGTAGGAAGAAGGCACATCCTACTGAAGGGCGTTCCCAGAAACCTTCTAGGCAGCAGGTACTGATTCGCTCTATTGCCAAATAGGATAAAGGATCCAAAAGGGTTTAAAGGACTAACGCCTAAATTCCTGTCCCTAGAAGTGTGTAGGTATGTAGTAGCCTCTGCAGTTCTACATACAAACAGCATTCTTTACATTCTTCTTTTGGAGCACAAGACAAAAAGCTGAACGGCTGCTTGAACGTCAACTTGTTTTGCGGAAGTAGGAACGAAAGTCACAGTATATTCTCATTACTGATATTGGAGCTGGTCTGGCATGAAGGTGAAGGCACCTTTCAAAAGATCAAGTGCTCCCAGCCCAGGTCTTTGGTAAACACTCACACCTGACTTACATTCTGAGATGACAGACTGGCAAGGTGTGAGATCCTGGGGACAGTTCTGCCTTTCCTGCTGAATGGGATTCATTTATCGTAGTATATAGTTGGGTTCCCGTTTAGACAGGATACTTACCAGAAACCGGCTCACTCACTAGAGGGTCCGCTGAGGAAAAACAGTAAACGAGATGTTAAATAAATCACTGCCCGTTTTCCAAGGAAAAGCACAGTGAGATAGTATAACATTGGTACTTAATGTGTGTTAAAAAATCCCACCACTGTTGTAAAGAAATAACCCAAGACAAAGATTTTCCACCAAACGGGGGACAAGGTTGTCGGGGGCAGGGCATGTGCAAGGGAGGAAAGATGGAGCAATAGACTAGGGTTGATGGGTATTAACTTGAGTGAAGAGCAAGATAGTAATCCACAAGAGGGAGAAGAGAGAAGGGGGGCGGAGGGTAAGGTAAACTATTGGGTGGGGGGTGTTCCTAAGTAGTTTAAACAGTTGAATACAAAATAAATGTAAGCGCCCCACCTAATTCACACACATGAAATGTTTTTAAAAACCTGAATTGCAATATGACACATTCATGCTAAAGACTGGTGCTTAGCTTAGAAAGCATCGAAGAATCTCCTCCACCAGGGCTCAGTGTATCTGGGGCACGGATTTGAGTGGTCAGAGCCTCTGGCTGTTCCAGGCTTCACAGCAGTTGCTTTTGTTTCATAGAGACCATTGGCAAACCCATCAAGATGCCGAGGGCTGCAGTTGGCGTAAGAATTATGCAAATAGCGCTGTGTGTACAGATGCAGCTCATGTAGGAACTGATACCAGGAAGGTTGGATTATAAGGTATCACAATGACAGCATTAAAAAAACAAAACCCTATCATATGAATCCCCTTTTAGCATGCCTGCTATTTGGGGTCTTGTCACACAGGTGCACACTCATCAGACTTTTTTAAGATTATGCCCTTTTTGTATTTTTTCTTTTTAATAAGTTTTTTTTTTTTGTTTTTAAACTCCAACAGAGGCCTTTAATGGAAAATACACCTGGTCGCCTCGTTAGAAGTACATCCCTGTGAGCCAAGTGTTATGAGCATTAGTAAGAAGGTGGTATAATAAAATTTTTTACTATAATCCAGTATAATGTATTTGAGGCTTAATCAAAGTTTTGTGTGGGGGTAGTGAGTGTCATGGCATATTAGAGACCTCTTAGTATTGGATTGTTTATAAGTATTATATTTCATAGCGACCTGTGGAGTTCTGTACTGCCTGATGGGAAAATAGGAACTTGAGTTCGCAAAGAGAAGATCACAGAGTTGTGGGCCGGCCCCCTGTTAACCCCAGGAAAATAACAATCCAATGTCTATCTTACCATCTTAATCTCCCATTTTTTTCCTAGTTTTTATAATACAGTATTGTATATAACAAACAGATGTCTTCCTCGGGTCACTGTGAGTAATTTAGTAAATTGTAGGTGTCCCACTGGAGAGCCTAGAGTTGCTGGTGAAGAGGGAATGCTTGAGATGCCTCATTAATTTAATGGACAGCAGAGACTGGTGGGCTTACAGGATTTGGTGGTGGCCCCGCAGAGAACTGCCTAAATGTGATTCAGAACGTGTGGAATGCGCTTCTCTTCCCCACATGTGTTTCCGCCATGCTGTGAAGTCCCACAGACCATTAGTTTTTTAGGCACTTATGTGTCACAACAATGAAAGGGCTGAAAAATATATGAAAATAAGCGTTTCAATTAAATCCAAATTAAGTCCTTTTTTAAACAAGATGTTGGCTTATCATTTTTATACAGTTCAGACTGGTAGAAAGAACTCTTCCCAAGCTTTGGGACTTGGCTTTGCTGCTGGTTAATTTCTGAGGGTGCTGAGCTATACGATGAACAATAGCTTTGTGAGTGAGGAAGTTGGTGACATGACCACTCCATGACTCATCAATTAAGCCAATCAGATAATGGAGAAATCTCAGCCCCGCTTGGTGGTCCATGTGGAGAGAGGGGAAGGAGGACAAGGGGAAAGAGAACCAGAGAGGGAGCCCAGGAGAGGTGGAGGGAGCGGGGAGAGAGAGAAATCTAGAGAGCTAGAGCTTAATTGATTTTAACTCCTCACCATCCTCACATCTAGATGAAGGAGGAAAAGCTTAAGTGGTGTTTCCTTTCAATTTGCCCTTAATGGAAAGCTTCAAGAACATCAGTGCCTACATTGTTTCCCCGGTTCTCAAACAAGTTCCCTTGGTAAACAAACCACTGCTGCAAGGTGGCGCTCTGCACACTTGTTAGGAAGCTGACTGCTGATGCATTACCTGATTCTGTGCTGAAGGTCACAGTCTTGCTGGGTGGGCCTTCACCAAGCAGGTTTTTGGGTTTCACTTCAAATTGATAGCTGTTCCAGGGGAAAATAAGAATTGTAACATACTCTTCAGGGATAGGAAGTAACATACCAATAACCCTCCTGATTCTATTTTGAAAACACCATGCTGTTTGATGGTAACATGTTCTAGAAGCAAGTTGCTGAAAGAAAACTTGCTCTCAATTTTGCTTTTCAAGCCAGCTTGTCTTCAAAACAAAAATCTATGTTTTGTATAAAACATTAAATTTAAAGAGACAGCTGCATTTAAAAAATTCCAAATTAGAAGAAAATGGGCAAGTTGGTAATGAGCACGCTGGAAGAAAGTCATATGAAGGACCCCAGCTAATTTCCATCTTTCTCCTCTTCAAATGCCTCAGCTACGGCCAAGAGCAAAGAAATGGAAACGCTCCCTTTCATTCCCTTCATACCAACCTTGAGTATGCTTTGGGGTTAGATGGTGCCACTGTGCTTTAGGCATTGGGCTGCTAACTGTAAGGTCAGGGGTTCAAAACCACTAGCCATCCCAGGAAAGCTATAATGAGTGTCTGTTTCCTTTAAGATTTACACTCTAAGAAACCCTACACAGAGTTGCTATGAATAGGAATCAAATCTGTGACTGGGTACCTAGGTCAGAATCATGATGGTGGGAACGGGGGCTGTTCATTTAAAATAGTTATCTTGTCCCACCCACCCTAACTATTGAATCTTTCTGAGAGGCTGAGGTAGGAGTCTGTTAACAACTTCCCTAGATGAGCTTGGTACTCACTGAAATGTGAGAACTTCAGTACTCAACTGTAGGAACAGATGCACATGAAAATGCTTCTTGTCGAGGACTGCCTGGCTGTATCTGGGAACTCAGGTTGACTGTGGCCCACAGAAGCCAGCTGTCTTCAGGACAGGTGTGGCTCATGAGGAGTAGGGGTACAAGATGAAGACTGGTCTCTAAGCTATACTCATGGGCCAAGCCCTGAACACTTTCTGATGGAGATTATTTAAAATACAAAGCAAGTTCAGATCCTTTGAAGTTGAATGCTTTTGATTCTGCCCTTCAAAACTATGCATTCAATTGCTGTATCATATATGTCAAATTTTATCCACAAATAATTTAAGCAAAGTAAGGCTATTCAAGAATTTAGACAGGAAAATGATTTGACATTTGCTTGAAAGGAGAAGACTTTACAGGAAAATAACAATGCACAGACAAGCAACAGTATTGTCTGAACCCCACATTTGTACACGGCTTTGGGAAGATAATTGATTTCCTTCTTTGAGTAGTTTGTTATTGAATAAAGCAAGACCACAAAAGATTGAAAAGTATTTTCTACACAAGTGGAAACAGAAGAATGGCGGTACTCATAGCTTGGCGCAGGTGGCACAAAGTGAGCAATGAACACGTGAGAAGTTTCTAGGTCACAGCATGTGGAGATTCTACCAGAATTACATTTACCACGGCTGATTTCTAGCACTGGAACAGCGACAGCCAGTATTTGTGTGCTTCCTTTACACCAGGCACTGTGGGATCGTTCTTCATATACAGATTTATTACATGTAACCCTGTGAAATACGTATTGCCTCTAATTGTCAGTTGAGAACAAGGGTTGTGCTATGTTTACCTGGCTTTTTCAGGTATCTTTGAAACTAAATGAATGCCTTGACCTTTGTAAGAGTTTTAATGAGACCATGCACATTTTAAAACTGTCACCCACCCACCCCACCCCCCAAAACAAATGGCAAACCAAAACACCATACCCTCCAACCACCAAGTTGATGACAGCTCAAGGCAACCAAGGAGCCTTGGGGGCACAGAGGGCTAAGTGCTGGGCTGCAAACCCCAAAGGTGGGGGTTCAAACCCACCAGCCACTCCTAGGAAGAAAGATGAGGCTATCTGCTCTTAAAAAGATGGATCGCCTAGGAAACCCTTCGGGGTTTCTGTGAGTTAACCACTAGCATGAGGTGCTATTGCAATACTCAGAATGCAGAAACAAAAACCCCTATGCCATTCATTTAAGTACGTCACACGTGTGGGGTCTTTTGGCATTGAGTTTTTTAAGAGATAAAAGTCTTGTTGAGAGGTCTGACAGCCTTAGTGGAGAGTGGAGAGGGAGGTGAGGGAGAAAGCTGCGATGGACTAAAAACTCGGGTGGAAACTCAGAGGCGTCTGGACTGGGGTTCCGTGGGCAGCACATTCCATGCCCCGAGCCAGTGCTGCAGCCAGTGCTGGGCCAGGCCTGTTGGACGCGCCCTCCCATCTTTCCAGTCCACGCTTGTTTACACTGCAGCTCCTTCAGCAGCACGGCCACAGATACGTGGGGGCTATTTTCTTGGTTTGCGGGGTGGGAGTCAGGGGCCAACATTTTATGGGACTTGACAAGTTTTAAAAGAAATAGTTTACACTAAGTTTCATGACTAGCATGAAAAATTAGAGGCATGTTTTTGGTCAATTAAACCCTAAGCAAACAAGCTACTTGGTCAGGGCAAAACCTTTTTCCAGAAACACATGCTGCCAGAAGGTGTGGGACAGCCCGGTTGGAGAGTCCTGTCCCCAGGAAGAGTACTCACTGTACTTAGGCGCTAAGCGTAAAGCACAGGAATGCTCGGACCATTTTCCAGAGAACAGAAAACGTGTTTGAAATAAAGTTGTTGCAAAAAAGAAAAGAAATAAAGTTGTTGCATGAAAAAAACTAAAAACCTAAATACAAGGTTTGGAGAGACATTTGAAATTTTACCAATATGAGACAAAAAGCCAGAGAGAGAATTATCCATCAACTGCAATAGCCAACTAAGGAATTCTGGAAGAGCGCACAGGGGAAAAGGAGGGTGGAAAACTGTCCCAGGAAGTGTCCAGATGGAGGGGCCTACTCCATGCCCAGTAAAATAAAACATAACAGAAAAGATTAACTAGCACTTACTCTGCAACAGCTCAGAGTAATGGAGATACCAGTGATGCTGTGGGCTAGGCTTTGGGCTGCTAGCCACAAAGGTTGGTAGTTCAAACCCACCAGTTGCTATGAGGGAGAAATAAAGTAGGGCTGTCTGCTCCTGTAAAATTTATACCCTTGGGAGTGCTATAGAGGGTTACTATGAGTCAGAATCCACTCGATGGCAGGGGGGTTGATTTTCTTTTGGTTTGGGGGCTCCTAATAGCTTCTGAGAAAAAAGCAAGAGGTCCCATTCATAGGACTTAGAATCAGATTGGCATTTGATTTCTCGACAGCAAAATACCCCCCCCCCCAAAAGTAAAACAAAAACCTAGAACAAAAGTCCACTGCCATCAAGTCAATTCCAGCTCTTAACAACCCTATGTAATGTTTCCGAGACATTATGGAGAGCGAGGTGGTCAACCCCTAACCCACAGCAAGACCAAGGCTCCCTACCAACACTGGAAGTTAGAAAACAACGAAGCAATAGCTGCCCAATTCTGAGAGTCTATCTTACAATTTCATGTCTAGCTAACTAACCAATTATCAGAGTAGAGCAAGGAGTCATAGCTGTGGTCATCCATTACTTTGTCTCAAGATGTAACGTCCCCAAACAAGGGCAGGAACAAAGAAGGGAGATGAGGTGGGATGCAGCAGTTCAGGAATCCCACACAGAAGGGCAAAATTGAATGCCAGGAGCGGTGTTGCCAGACACAAATGTACGGGACAAATGGAGGACTTGAGTAGATGACTATCTTGAAGAATCAGCGAGAAATACGGATTTCACCGTAGGAAGAGGAACTGGTTCTGTAATATTCCTCAAGATTTAAAACCTAATTTGACTTCCTACCTCAAATTGAGTGTGGGAATGTAGTAGAGTCTAGATAACAACTGCATCAAGCCTCTGGGCCTCACAGAGGACTGGAAAAAAACCACCCAAAACCAAACCCTAAAAGCTCACTCTCACTGAGTTGATTAAGACTCCTAGTGAGCCTAAGAAGGTTTCTGGGACTATCAGTCTTTGTGGGAGCAGAGAGCTTCAACTTTCTGCTGTGGAGTAGCGATGGCCTTGAACTGCCGACCTTTTAACTAGCGAGCAGTCCAACCCTTACCAGAGTGCCACCAAGAGAAGCCAGTAACTACCAGTCCTCATAGAATGCCACAGAGCGCACTCCTGAGCGGCCATGCATCCCAGCAGAAGCTACCTTTCCCGCAGCCCTTTTGGGAGGCAGCACTGCGATGCTAAGACGTGGTCGCTGCAGTCAGAACGATGTACACTCAGTCTCACATTTTAATGTGAGACTTTAGGCTAAACTGCTAACCTCGCTGACCTCACATAGACAGTGAGGACAACCCGGGTGTCCGTGAGCAGGATGTCAATCATCTCTTCAGAGGTATCAAGGAATCCATGAGGGGTTTTGGTTTGTTTCTCTTTAAAAAAAATATATTGTTGGAAACTTCTGGAGGCTGGGCGTCTGAAATCAGGGTATTAGAATGTGGATTCCTTCTGAAGGCTCTGGGCATAGCCGCTAATCGTTGGCCTTCGTTGGTGTGTAGACACATCGCTCTAATCTCTGAGTCCATCCATTGTCATAGAATATTCTCTTTTCTTTTCGGAAATAGTTTTATTGGCATATACTTTACGTATAACACGATATCATTGTTCAGTTACATTAAGGTTTGTGCCATCATCACCACAAACAATTTCAGAACATTTTCTTCTTGACTCATAGTTGCCAGCTCCCATTCTGCCCCCTCCCCCACCCTGCCATCCTCTCAAGCAATTATCAGTCCAGTTACTGTGTCTGTGGATCTACATATCCTGGCTTTTACATACAAATAAAAATCATACACAGTATAGCCAGGAAGCAAACAAAACAACAAGTTTGTTTTTGGTGAGGATTAAATGAGAAGACACACAAGCAAGGAACCTGGCCCACGGTAATTGAATATAAAAACTAGTATGAGTTATGTCTGTAAACCCCAAACCCAAACTTCCTGCCATCGAGTCGATGCCAACTCATAGGAGCCCTAAAGGACAGGGTAGAGCTGCCCTGTGGGTTTCTGAGCCTCCCTGGGAGTAGAAAGCCCTTTCTCCCATGGAGCAGCTGACC